TTTGCAGCTGCGTTACCCTGCTTCCTCGGGCAAAAAAAACGGAACAGATACAATAGGGTTCCATGCTCCGATGGAGACATGGAAACGCTGCTGCTTTGCAGCTGCGTTACCCTGCTTCCTCGGGCTTGGACCCCTAATAATAATAATAATAAAAAACGGAACAGATACAATAGGGTTCCATGCTCCGATGGAGACATGGAAACGCTGCTGCTTTGCAGCTGCGTTACCCTGCTTCCTCGGGCTTGGACCCCTAATAATAATAATAATAAAAAACGGAACAGATACAATAGGGTTCCATGCTCCGATGGAGACATGGAAACGCTGCTGCTTTGCAGCTGCGTTACCCTGCTTCCTCGGGCTTGGACCCCTAATAATAATAATAATAAAAAACGGAACAGATACAATAGGGTTCCATGCTCCGATGGAGACATGGAAACGCTGCTGCTTTGCAGCTGCGTTACCCTGCTTCCTCGGGCTTGGACCCCTAATAATAATAATAATAAAAAACGGAACAGATACAATAGGGTTCCATGCTCCGATGGAGACATGGAAACGCTGCTGCTTTGCAGCTGCGTTACCCTGCTTCCTCGGGCTTGGACCCCTAATTATGACTCCCAAACAGCTACACAAGAGGTAAGGAATTACAGCCATTGTTATTTTTCACTGCTTCTGTTGCTGCCGAGCCACAGTCACTGCATTAGTTTCTATTCATACACAAATGAGAAATATATCCTGTAAAGAAAAGCTTCCTGTACCCAAGGATTTATCTTTAATAAACACATTAATTATATAGCAGCGTGACTGTACAGTCACAGCATTCATTCAGAGGCAGCGGCTTTGCATTAACACCGTTTGGAACAAAATGAATGGCAAAAAGGGAAAATGTTCTCAGTTGAATCGGCAAAAGAGCAGCTAGCAAACTCTGCGTTCCGCCATTAAATGTGCAAAGAACAACAGGCAGCGTTGTTAGGTGGGCGTTCGTTGCAGCATCTGTGCAAGCTGATCCGTAAGGCCCTGAGACATTTCTGTGTAGCTGCCCGGTTCGGTTGCGTCAAAATGTCAGATGCATTAGTCGGATTCTCGCTTCACCACTTCAAGGAGAACCATCTTCGTGCACTAATGCAATATGGGTGCCCATTACCCCAAGCTGAGACAGGAGTGATGGTCAGCCTGTATTGATCTTTTCCCTTTTTTTCCCCTCCCCCCTGTTTTGTTCCACAGTCTCTCTCCTCTGTTTGGGCACCATCACACTGTGCACCCTCCATCTGGCTCCAGGTGAATCT